AGGTGATCAACATCTAGAATATGTAATCGATAACGAAAAATTGATGATGGGTGAATATGGAAGCATGCTGGAAGAGTGGATCATTAAGATCATCAAGCATGCGAAGTTTCAGAAGCGACAGCGATCCGAACGTGGATGCCCGATCAGAGACTCGAGAGATTGACCACTATCTAACCTTGGTTTGTATCGCTTGATTGTGTGGACACATAATTGGTGCGGACCACAAACCGCGATCCACTCCCGAGCGATCCATTACGGAGCGATTCACTACGGAGCGGTCCGCTATCCGAATATCTGCTGTTGACCACATGATGCAAGAAGTGAATTACATCGACAGGCGATACGCCACAGTTGACCTAGCGAACAGACAGGTATAGTCGTAGGTTTTGGATTTGGTTGGTTGACATTAAACAGAATTGAATTTGCAACGAATGACACGCGTCGACTTCTCCCGGGCAACAAGTTGGGCCTCCCGTTGAACAGAGAAGGACCTGCGTCTATACAAACTTCGTCTTTGGATTGTGTCGCCAGGTGGAACGTCAATTCTCACCCCCCAAACTGCGATTGGACGCAGTGAACCTTACGGTTCACATTCAAGATCGCCACACGACTCAAGCGGTCAGAAGGCTCGCGCATCAAGCTTCACCCTTGTATAAAGGCTACTCTGGGAGTGCGCCCAAGCATACACGCAATTGAGTGAAGAATTTCCACTCGATCCACCCCCACGTTTAAACGGTTTAAGAATATCCACCCGATCAACTCCTATCCCTAAAACAGTCAAGTCCAGCTTCAGCTCAAGTCCACCAAGAAAAGCTCAAGCCGCCCCACCGATGGGTACACACGATAAGTTAGAAAACACAGAGCACAGAATCGGGGTACCCCCTCCTTTAGTCGGTCGCCCGTGCGCCAGTGGAGAGTCGTTTTTGGCTCGAAAAACGAGCAATCACCACTCCACCACAATCGTAGCAAAATTGTATTGCCGCTGGCCTAACATTTGCATCTGTTGAGCACCAAGTTCTCTTTACTTTTCAGCCTGATGAGAGTATATCTGGTGAAGCAAGGCTAATTTCTCCCTTTCGGTGACAAGTTCCTCTTGTATGAACCTAACTATAGCGGCAAGTTGTTGGTCTCTGTCAATAGATATTGAATCCAGTGGACGAGTAGACAAGCACTACAACAGTTACCGGTAGATACGTGGACCGATGTCCTTAGTGGGCGGACATCGGTTAATACCGCTGAAGAGTGGCTCCCACAGCTGGGAAAATATCCTTGGTGATCACAGGTCGCTAGACGTACCGAGATCAAGCGTAAAACTTTTGTCGTTATCTTTGTCAAGGAACTTTAACATGGCGGCAACGGCTGTGTCGCTTACGGTAAAACTCATACAATTTACCGCACTCCATTCGATGTTACTTAAATGGTTAAAGCTTTCACGCGTGGCATGAAATCATTCCTCTTCGTCGAACATGTTCATGTTTAATGAGGTGGTCGTGGTCTTTGGACGGACTACGAAGTGCTACCAGGTTAACGGGGCACGCTCTTACCAAATGACTGGTAAGACCTTGAGTTATTATCACACAAGGCTGCGTATTGCCGACGTCACGTACACGTACCGTAAGGAAGCGCGAGGAAGTAAACCGAACTCGAAAGTTCTGTTCAAGGGAAAAGTATAGCTGTTTATAACATAGTTTAGCTTTTTTGCTAAACCATATTTTGTCTTATTTTAACTATATTAAACTATCATCTCCTATGTGGGCTTCTTGCTCACCACCCATTGCGCGCGTCCAGCAGCAATTGGTAGTTAATCTGGTTGATGTATCGTGTACATCAACCATGAAGCGACGTACCCAGCTTATATTACCCCCATGGATAATATTCCGCCAACATCACCTCTTCTCGAGTGATATTAATTGAATGTTATCGAAATAGATAATACAGTCTTCCCTCTGCTAAGTTATAGACTTGGTGGAAGGCAAATCTTATAACATAGCAGAGGTTATTCCATAGCAGAGATATGCTGCGGAAAAATTATTAATTTAATTAATTAAAGAATCAAAAACGCAACAAACCCTTAGGCTTTCAAAACCTGTCTGTCACGTGTCACGTGCCCTTTGACGATTTTGTGATTTTGGTTGCCCCACCAGTCTCTGGTGATTTTGCTATCTCTGGTTAAGAAGTTCCACCAACTGTACCTTGCTCACTCAGAACAGATGTCGCAGATACGTCTTACCAACGAGCAAAAGCTGCGCATCTGCAAGCACCAGGATTCTAACCCGCGCATCACCCAGACTGCCCTGGCGGCTTGGACAAAGGACGCCTTTGACCTCTAGAAGGCACTTTCCCAGGCAGCGATCAGCAAAATCCTCAAAAAAAGGAAGGAGCTTGAGGCAATGGACACCACTAACCTCAGCGCTAAGCGTCCTCGGACTGTCCAGCACCCAGCTGTGGAGGAGGCCGTCGCCTTCTGGGTCTTGCAGTGCCAGCACCGTGGGGTCGCTCTCACTGGAGATCTCATACGGGCCAAGGCTCAGACTTTTGCTGGATCAATGGGCGTCTCGGAGGAAAACATCCGCTTTTCGAATGGGTGGCTCCACAAATTCCAGCGGCGCCACAAACTGCGAGCTGTCCGCATTCATGGCGAGAGTGGCTCAGCAGATATGGGCTCTCTAGAAGAGGGTCTTCCACACCTCAAGGCCGTGGTTGCTGGTTATACTCCACGTGACGTGTACAACATGGACGAAACTGGTAGGTCTGAGAATACAGTACAGTACTGTACTCATTGTACAGTACAGAAGCATCTCAAAGGCTCACTTTCTGTTCAGGGTTGTTCTACAGTATGACGCCCGACAGAACGATTGCCCAGCAAGAGGTCGAAGGGTTTAAAAAAGACAAGGTACATTATTGCTCTCATCTTGGTTTCCTGCGTTTCTCTGACACTAACAACTATTCAGACGCGCATCACAGTTGCTCTCACGGCAAACGCTGATGGATCCGACAAACTCCCGCCGTTCTTCGTTGCACACGCCAAAAAGCCGCGGTGTTTTGAGCGCAAGACAGCTGAGCGACTGGGCTTTCTCTACCGCAACAACAAGAAAGCCTGGATGACTGGCATACTCTTCCAGGAATGGCTGGGAGACGTCGACAAAAGTATGAAGGTAATTTGGGGCATGCCTTAAACATCATCGTTGTGGTACAGTAAATGAGGTTTGACTAACGCGTTGACCACAGCAAATGGATAGAAAAATCCTGCTTCTCATGGACAACGCTCCTTCACACATTGTTGCTGACCTGGAACTCACCAACATCACGGTCCAGGCTCTTCCTCCTAATACGACTTCAAAGGTCCAACCCATGGATGCTGGGATCATTGCCGCATTCAAGAGGCACTACCGCCGGCTGCATCTGCAGAATGCCTTGGACCGTGACGAGCGCGGAGAAATCAACCTTTACAAGGTTGATCAGCTCACGGCCATGCGTTGGTCGCTGGCTGTGTGGAGCGAGATTTCCAGTGCCACAATCGCCAACTGCTTCCGACATACGGGACTCATGGACGGTCCGGCTCTGCCGACTGGTGGGGGTGAAAACGAAGCCGGCACTGTTGGCCAGCAGGCCCAGCAGGACGCAACAGCTGCTGCAGTAGAGGAGCAGCGCGTGGAACAGGATCTTGTTTCGGCGCTGGAAAGGCTCCCGCTCCGCAATCTAATGTTGATCGCTTCTCTTTTCAATCCGGCTGAGGAGGAGGAGACGGCGCATGCGGAGCTGACCGATGCCGAAATCATCAAGCTTGTTGAGGATCCGTATGGGGAGGAGGAAGGTGCTGCTGAGGCGGAGAAGGAGGTGGAAAAGCATTCGAAGGCTGAAAAGCTTGCCATCCTTAGTCTATCCATCGCCCTTCTCTACCTTTTTCAGGAGTCCCATCGTATAGCTCACCGCACCCTTCGCCAAGTCCAAGCTGATCTCCGTAGTGCGAGCACCACTCAGGCCACACTTGATTCCTGGCTGAAGTAGTTTCCTCTCCTCTTTTCACTCCTTTCTTGCAGTGAATAACAAAAAAAAGGTTCTGCGTACAATATTTCTGCTCACGGCGGACAAAAATATTCCCTCTGATAAGTTGTATTTGGCCCTCAGGCTATTCCGTATAACTCATTCCGTAGTCACCATAGAACGAGGTCGGTGGAAACCGAATCCTATAACTTACCGGAGGTTATTCCGTGGCCGGGGATAACTTAGCAGAGGGAAGACTGTATATAAAAACTGTTAAATTCGTATCAATTTTTATGTGACGGGCTCAACCCGCTACAATAGAACTAGATGGGAATAAGACCTTGGCTGCCGGTAGCATATCTTAATGACCAAGGATAACTCGCTGCATGTACGACATTCCCTCTTCATTATTCTTGGATGCGCTTCATTCGTATTCCAATTGATGTGGGTGCTACATACATTACCTCTTGTCGAAGTCTGTGTAGGCATAAAGAGCGTTCGTTTTCAGGCGAGCGAGATCAGTATTAGTGTGTTTAATAATGCTGATATAATGAGCCAATCACAATACATTTTGGATGGAGGGTGAGTGGTGGTTAGCGAAAAGTGAGTGGTAAATCGCGGCTTTCTTAATATATGTAAGTCCCAGAATGTGTCCTGTCCTATTAGTCCTAACTTAACTATTTTTATACCAAAGCATGTATGGTAACGTCTACTCACCACCCATTGCGCGCGTCTAGCAGCGATTGGTGGGTTGATAAAATCGAATATCAATCAATGAGTAGACCCTTGGGTCACTGCAGCAATATCACTGAACTTATCGATGTTGTAGTGAGACTATTAAACTTTATCTTCTCATTTATCATATTGTCACATGTTATAATAATATCATGTAAGAGGCTCACCACCTTCCATTCTGGGCGCTCTTTTCTAAAGAAAGCGGACGTGCGACTCGGACTTGTTGGCACTTTAACATTTGCTCCCTCCCTCGCTCGAAACTGACAACAACATCACCAACGATGCGCCTCCATACGTTCACGCTCGTCGTGTTCACTGCGGTTCTAGCACACAGCGCGAACTCTGCGAAGACGCCCAGCTCGACGACGACGGAAGGTGCTCCCTCGGCAAGCCCTCGTTCCTCTGACGCGTGCTGCGATGACGTCCCTGTTGAGAAGGGGCTGGGTCCACACGAGACCACGGCGGGTGAAGAGAGGATGCCAGATATATGGCAAGCAGTAATCAACAAAGAAGTTGATCGACTCATGGACATGGTTTATGCGCCTCACTCGAGGATGCCAGTGGATTATATCTCATCGAAAATCAACGGCGCCGTTGCTCGTCTCGTGGAATTGGTGTATGCGCATGAACGTGAGACCATGCCCGAGGTCGAACACCTTCCTGTGCACGGGCAGCGAGTGTTTGATGAGAATGCTATCAAGCACTTTTTACGTTCTGGGATGGCACACGAGACACCACAAGAGTTGCTGGAAAGAGTAGAATCATATGGTCGTCAGCTTGAATCGAATCCCGCAAGTGGACTGGACATGATTGCAACGGCTCGCGAATTTTCTACTCAACACCTGAGAGCAGAGGCGGAAGCTCAATTTGAGATGGATCCCAGTGTGGTGTTCGGTATCAGGCTCCAGAAGGCCAAATCCGACCTAGCTATGCAGGCAGACGATCGCTCGAAAGACCCAATGGTAAACCTGGACCTTGGCAATTTGGACAGATACAGGAAGGAATACTACAGGCGCCGAGGCGGCAACGAACTTACGTTGCGAGAAGTGTTATCAAGTTGCGTTGGTGGCGACGCCAAACTCGAATCGATCCTGTCGATCCTGAATCGCAACAAGCTTAACAAAAGATATGTGGTGCTCATGCGAACGGAGATGATGGCGGACTCGAAGACGGTTGTAGACGCTGCTGTCAAGCTAGGGATGATACCACACACGACGAAAGTCTTGGACAATAAATACGTGGATACATTTGTCCTGTTCATCGGTACCCTCGCTCGAGAACATCCAGAGCAACATTCAGTCATCGTCGAGCAGCTCACGGAGATATTTGGGGGTCGCCAGGCTGCATTACTGGTTCATAAATCAGTGAAGGCGTGCCCAAAAGAATTCGATGATCTACAAGCAGCGCTGTACAAACATTTGGTTAAGACCTTTACTTATGATGAGCTGCGCGACGAGATCACGAAGTCAAGGGAAGGAAGAACTGAAAGACCTGGAAGAGCTGGAAGTAATACTGATAAATTTGAGACACGGTGCGAGGATTTGGTTCTCGAAAATTATCTTGCACCTCCCGAACCCCGTGCGAACCGAAAGAGAAAACGGGCAAGTGACACGAGCGCCGGTCCTTCGTGACCCTATCCGTTGCTAGCAGCGGCCTGCAGATAACCCATAACAATACATGCCATTCGTGAAACAGACCTGTGTTGTGGTAAGATCAATCGGGGCAGGTAGGTCAAATGGTGCTTGCAACCTCGTGGGCACTTTTGTAACGTCTGCACACGTCCAGCGGCGTCACCGATAGCAGTGTGAACATCCGACATGCCCCCACGCGACACGAGTCTGAAGGGCAAGTACAAGCACTTGCCAGGTCAGCGCACGTATCGCGTTTGGACGCGGCTCCTTCCCAACAAACAGCACACGTAACGACATGCTCAAACAGTGTTGGCTCACGAACCGCAAATGCGTGGGCGGCTATGACACCGGGACAGCAACATACAGTCACCAACGCTATCGCGCTAGGTATACTCTCTCCACGATCCTGATTGCTATTCAGGCAGTCGGACAACAAGGGTGCTGTGTTATCTACAAGGAAAACCCGTTCGTCCGTCCAGCATAAGCTCGCATCAGATGAGATCTGCTTTGCCTTTCGTAGTAAGTCATCCCACAAGCTTCCGTAGATGTAGCAACCACATCGTGCGTCTTCCATGGACTTACAGCCAGACTACCGCTTTTGTAACGGGGCACACCCTTGCGTGAACTTAGCGCAAGGGTTCTGGGTGCCCCGACAGACGTACACGAGGCAAACGAGGAAGCGTAGATAAGGGAAAAGTAGAACTGTTATATTAATATAATAAAGCCTTTTTGCTACTGTCTCTTTGTTAAACCTGACTTAATTATGTTAATATATCTGAGTGTATGGTGACGTTTCGTCACCACTCATTACGCGCGTCCTGCGGCGATTGGTGGGTTGATATCATCAAGATATCAACCAATGAGCAGACCCTTTGGTCGCTTCACCTATATCACCATTATCGGTGATATTGTTCAAAGAATATTCAACTTAATATTCTTTGTTGTCACTTTTTTTTAAAGTGACACTTCCATGTAACGGGCTGCCCCGTTACATCACCCGCTTCCTTAACTGATAGTCACTGTGTGACTATCGAAAATCATGGCGGCCACCCGTTGGATGCCATTGGGACAGGGAGCACTTGTTGGGTCAGTTCCGTTCATAACTCAACCTGACCTCGCATAGTTAACATGTCTATGCGGGGTGACTCAAGGCACACATAGTCTGTGCCTGTACCAGCTTCTGCGGCAGACGATTCGTCGTCTGCTGCTCGTTCTCCGCCTGCAGCAACAGGTGCTGTAGGTGCACGCGGTACAGCATCGTGTGCGCATGATGACCCCGACATTGAGGTCATCTACTCTGGCGAGTCAGACGTGTCTGACTCGGGCAATGCTGCAGAGGCGTCTCGATCACGGGCGACGCCTCAGTTTTTGCCAAGGCCACTGCCGAACGAACGGACTCGTGAGTTGCAACACAGTATGTTCGGCAGTGATGACGAATCTGATGATGAGTATGATTGCTCATCACCGAGATCGGCCCGTGCTCCTTCGCACGATCGACTTGACGATGGTGCAAGCCATCGTCATACTGAAAATCGTGGTACCAACAAGGGTACCACTGTGAAGCGTGATGAGCTGAAGCCGTGGCGTTTGCCTGAACGGCTCATCAACGGCTTGTCTCACGAGAAAAGCCAACACCATCGAATACCCTTATTCGATGCGACTGAGCTTCACGGCTTGGATCCTAGCGCGAGCAACGTTTGCGGTGAGGAAGACTTTTATCTCGATGTCTTCCTTAGACATCGATGGCATAATGGTAACCAAAAGCGTGACAAAAACTCGCTTTTGGCTGCGTGGAACGCGTTCGTCCAAAACGTAAAGAATTTTGGACGAGAAGGGTGGCTCAAGAAGCTTGAGGCGACACGCCTCAGGTTCGAAAAGGGAAACGCCAACCGGTGACAGGTACCGGTTGCATCGTTTATCAAGTGAGGCCGGCATTCCATGCCTCACTTGGGGGGACCCTTGTGCGAGTTGTGCTGACAACTCGCAACGTGCGCAGAGGGACGTGTATTCCATGGATTCGCCCTGGGGAAGGGCACACATCTCGACTGAGATGCGTGACGCGGTTGCATACTTGCAATCCGTCTACAAGCGCCAAAAGCGCGTGTTTACCGATGGTCCCTCGGACCAATCGGATGATTCTCGTCATGCTGGCGGACGAGACCTTTAACGTCCATCAACAGCTGAGAGCGGGGCTCCCAGCTGTTCCAAGAGAGTGGATACCCCCGCCACCGGACGATGTAGCTCGTCCTTGATCCTGAATCGTCACGGTGATTAAAGATACGCTCCACTAGAAAGCGTTGACCACCGTGAGCATCCACCAAAGGATGTGGTGTAGGAGGAAAGACCTCCTCCATATGATTCGGTTCACCATCTCGACCCTTACGAGATGGATCGCGCAATCGATGAATTGCGCGACGACTTGAAGCACGAGCGCGACCGGCGCTACGCTTTGACTGATACCGTGCGGAAGAACCGCAAGGATCGCGAGGCTGATCGGGCGAGGGATCGCGCCGATTATGCCACCGCGCAGCTTCAGGTAGAGCGGGGTGTCCGCTCTCTTTCCGGCGAGCTGGCGACAGCTCACGGGGAGATATCTCGGTTGAGTTCCGAGGTATCATATCTGCGCGACCAGACGGATCGTCTGGAGCGCGAATGCAAGAACTTGATGGATGTTCTTGAACGTGGGGGCTATCTTCATCGGAAGAAGAAGGCTCGTACTGACAGTACGGCCTGAGCCTCCCCACGTAAAACGTAGGATGCGTGCGCATCCTACGTGGCAATTCGAGTGTGTATGCATTGCCCTTGCGATGCAACACTCGAAATGGCCCAATGTATTTCGGCAGTAGTTTACTACTGCCGACACTAGTGACTGCATGTCCAGGTAAATTTACCGTAGACAGTAGTACTAGGTCGTTAATTTTAAATGAAAGAACATTTGCTCTTCCATTCTTGTCTGCGTTCCGTGTCTGGCGGTCCACCGCATTTGCGATGGAGTCCTGAACGAAACAGACCACCGCTTCTCGAGTCAGCAGACAGTTCTCTGCTGACTCTTTGTTTTGTCTTTCAGTGCGCTTCGTGCGCACTGCTAAGAGATTGCTCTCTTCTTCAGCGAGGCTGTCTTCTTCCTCGCTGGAAATATCGTTGACGATGCTGAATATACCAGCATCGTCATCATCATCCGAGTCAATAATAGCGTCGCCGCTATTATTGAGGTGATTTCCTTCATCGATGTCGTCCTGATCGACATCGGTATCATACGTCACGACGTTAGCGTCGACACGTGATGAGCAAGAGCCAAAACGGTTTTTGCTCGAGCGAGTCCCTCCCCCCCTTTTCGAAGAGTCACACTCTAAAAGGGCGGGCACACGTGGATGGCGTAAGCCATTCACGTAAAACGGTGCGTGCTGGGTTGAAGCACGCACCGAATTATTGATGGCGAATTCCACCATGGGTAGGAATTCGCTCCAACTCGAAAATGAGTGGATATATCCTCGAAGGATCTCTTCGAGGACACGATTTTCACGTTCCGTCTGACCATCTGTTTCGGGATGGTCAGAAGTAGACATCTTCAATCGTGTTCCGAGAGAACGGAACACGGTTTGCCAAAATTCCGCCGTGAACCGAGGGTCACGGTCGGATACGAATTCACGGGGCAACCCGTGGAGTCTAAAGACCGTGTCAAGAAAGACACGAGCACAGCCGGGTGCCGTGATGGACTCGGGCACTGCATCAAGATGCATTATCTTGCTGAACCGATCAACGAACACAAGAATGCCATTATTCTTGTGAGCGTCTTCGGGAAAACCGAAGACGAAGTCCATTGAAACGGACTGCCAGCACTCTGTCGGAACAGGCAGAGGCTGCAATGGCGCACGGGATGAAGGACTAGGCTTCACCCGTTGACAAACCTCGCAAGCACGCATGTACTTGCGGACAAACTGATACTGGCGTGGCCAGTAGAAGTCACGACTTACCGTGAGGTAAGTCTTTTCTCTCCCACGATGGCCACCTGTTGGGGCATCGTGACACTCATACATGATGCGTAATCGCAAATCATTATGAGTGGGGACGACGACACGAGGCGTGTCGCCGTCAACGGCTGTATAATATAACAGTCCGTTACGCGTTGTGTACCGATTTGATGAGGATCGGTACAAAGCCGGTAAATCCCTCATAGATTTACTGGATGGATGCACCAGATGATCCATCAATCGCAGAAGATCTATATCTTCCGCGTATGCCTTTCGTACGTCATCAAGTAAACTTGACGACGGGACACTTACTGACAGTGTCGTAACAGTGGGCTTATCCTTACTGTTGAATTGTGCGACCGGCTCGAAATCGGGCCGGCGCGAAAGCGCATCAGCGACGACGTATAGTCGTCCTCGTTTATACTCCACAGAGAAGTTATACTCCACGAAGAAAGACAGCCACCTCGCCATTCTCTGCGAGAGGTGTGGGCTGTTTACGGCCGTGCGTGCGTAGTGACGCATGGTCGGTATACACGATGAACGGTCTATCTCCCAAGAGATGGACCCGGAACTTAGCCAGTGCATATTTCATGGCAAGGAATTCCTTGTCATGCACTGGGTAATTGCGCTCAGCTGCTTGCAGCTGACGCGACTGATAACAGATGACGCGCTCCGCGCCATCTGCGTCGAACTGCATTAACGCACAGCCGATTGCAAAATCGCTGGCGTCACAGACTACATGAAATGGTCTGTCCTGATCTGCAATCGCCAATATCGGCGACTGCATCAAGCTTTGCTTGATACCTTCGAAGGAGCGCTGACACTCAGCGTTCCATGACCATTTGGCATTTTTCTTAATAACCAAGAAAAATGTACCGTCATTTCGGCGTAGTTGCGAGAGTACTTGTGCAAGTACGCCGCTAGACCAAGGAACTTCCTTAGTCCCTTGACATCGACTGGCACTGGCCAGTCGGTGATCGCCTTGATCTTTTCGGGATCAGAGCGTACGCCGTGTTTACCCACGATGCA